CAGCCCACCATCATGCACAACACAGCACAAGAGCACAAGTACAGAACAACAAACACACAGGAGCAGAGGTACGTGCCAGCCAGGTAGAGGGGCAGAGTGCAGGGCTGAACTGAATTCTGAATTCTGAATTCAACACACTGTACTGACGAGCTGGAGAGGACAGATGGGACAGGGCTGAGCGCTTTTACACCACAGATCGCAGGTCTGGAACAGCAAGTCAGCGTGCAGAGTGGAGACTGCACTGCAGAAGACACTGCCACGACTAACTCAGGGCTCCCACGTGCCGTATTTCGGGGGATCGGGATGCGAGTCAGAGAGCACGATGCTAGTGGGATAGGGCGCCGCTCAGGATCAGTGCCAGGTGCTGTGCTGTGTTCAGGTACCAGTCCTGCCAGCGGCCGGGTGCTCACCTGGGGGCAGCAGATCTTCAGCAGATTGATGGTCTTGCCACAGACATAAATGTCATTGGCCATGTGTCTCAGGAAGACCGGAACACACTCCTCCACATCCTGCGAGATCAGAGTGTAGCCCTGCGTCCAGAACTGCTTGTCTGCACAGACAGAGGGAGAGAGAGATCAGGAACATCTGAGCAGGTTCAGTGAAACGAGTTTTGGTGTTCCAAATTCTCAATGTAATAAACACAACTTTAAAAGCCAGTAAAACTATTTTTCTCTTAGTTTGGGGTCGGGAAAGACTCACCTCGACAACTGAGGAAGTCTTCGTTCACCTGAATCATGAACTCTCCGTACACATCTCTGAACACCCCACTGTACACCCAGTCGTAGATGAACCTGCAGAGCCCAAACATGCTGACTGATCACACATGTCGTGCAGCTCAATAGTGCAAAAGGCAAAGCAATCATAAACAATCTGTACCGACACCGACATGACGTTTACAAGCAAGGGTGGCACAGTGCCGCAGTGGTCAGCATTGCTGCCTCACAGGGCTGGGGTCTCTGGGCTCGATTCCTGGGGTGCTGTCTGTGTGGAGTCTGTATGTCCCTCTCATGCTCGCATGCGTTTTCACCGGGTGCTCCGGCTTTCTCCCACAGTCCAAAGACATAGGTTCATCAGCTTTCGTGAAAATTGGCCCCGTGTTTCTCTGTGTCTAAGTGTGCGCACGTCTGTGTCTGAGTGTGCCCTGCAGTGGACTGGCCTCCCATCCAGGGTGTACCCTGCCTGCGACCGTGACCGGGAATAGCACGAGATGGTTCTAAAATAGATAGATCGATGGTTACCAGCACAGTAAGGATTTAGCTTTCCACATGCAGGTCAATACGATACACAACAGAATGACACAGCAGATAGACCACCCGGCAGGTCAACTCACCGCGTGTAGGGCTCACAGCTGCTCTTGAGCAGGGACAGCAGGACAGCGTAGTTCTCGTTGCTGCAGTTACTCTGGGCCTCATTGTACAGGTAGGACAGCAGCTTGACTCCCTGAAGCACACGGACCACTGGATTACCCTCACAACCACACACAGGCAAGCGTGCACGCCCTGTAGCCAGCACAGGTACAGTACGTGGCTCATCTGCAACGCCGTAGTGCAAGTACCAGGGCTCAGAGCTGATCACGATCATGGCTTTCTTGCCACATGTGCAAGAGGAGCAGTGCCTGGGTGGCGCAGGGGGGACTGGTCCTGTGGCCGACACTCACCACAGGGAAGGAGGCCAAACTGCTCCTGCCCACGGCCTGACTGCCTCCGGCACCCCCATCCACACAGCACAGCTCGGACAGGTACCTGCACAGGGAGACAGGCCGAGAGTCAGGGGCGCGGGCAGGGAGAGGAACGGCGAAGAGGAAAACCTTCATCGTTCTTTCACATCTACTGTAAACTACAGTAGTCCGAGTAGGGAGCTGCGTCAGCATGCGCAGGCTGCAAAGAAGGAACAAGTAAAGGCTGAAAAGAGAAGAAACAACGTTTCGGCTGTGAAGCCTTCTTTGGGTGTCAAACCGAAGAATCCAGGTGTCGGCTGACACCTGAAAAAGGCTCCACAGCCGAAACGTTGTGTTTCTTTTCAGCAGGGAATAAACCTTTACCTGTTCCTTTACTGTAAACGTATTACATGCTGAAAGGAAAAGAAACACAACGTTTTGGCTTTGGAGTCTTCTCAGCCGAAATGTGGCGTTTCTTT